GGGGGGGGGGGATAAACTGAGGCAGCTCGGATCTCGCCGCGCGCGCGCGCGCCCCTGTGTGTCTGTTGAAGTTGTACGTGTACTCGCGTCGCACTGAGGCGTCCGTCTGTCTGCTCGTCTCCCTCGCCGGAAGCCCTGAGGTCCCTCACCTTCCCCTCACCGCCTCTTCTTGCTTTACTTCATTGGGCTCCCTCCCCCCCTCTCAGCCCGCCCCTTCGCTGCGCCCTCCCCCGCCTTTGTGTCACTATCTCCGTTAATTGTTCAACTTGCTTGGTGCTTTTGCCCCCCGCCCCTCTCTGCTCTGTGCCGCGCGCTGACGTGCGCGCTGCTGTTCTTCGGGCGCCTCCAAGGAGGTCATGGACGCTGCTGCGCGACGACGAACGTGTAGTGCCCGTCGAAAGTTGTTCCTCTTTGCCGGGAGGAAACCTCTGAATTATTCCGGCAGCAGGCAGGACGAGGACGGCTGCTGCTGCTGCTGCTGCTGCTGCTGCTGCGTCTGCCTCACCCTCCCTTCTCCGGTTGCTCCGCATTCAATCCGCCCCCGCGCCGCCGACCGAGGTGGACGTCGTGGCGGGGCGCGGGGCGGCGGGCGGCGCGGCGGCCCTGCCCGGCACATCGCCGGCTCGAATGGAGGCTTCAAGTTCCACGAGCAGTTGAGACTTTCTGCCAGCAGCGTTGTCCTCGTGTCTGCTACCCCTGCCGCACTGGCTGCCCGCGCTGCTCCCTCCCTCATCCCCCCCCCCTTCCCCCCTTTCCCCCTTCCCTGCGGGGGGGAATGTGGGGGGGGGGTCGTCGTGTGGACGATTCATCACCTCCCCCGAGCTATCACGGGCGCGTGTACACATTGCCCGAAAACAAATGGCCGTCTAAAAACTTTTGTCGTCGAGCGTCTTTTTGTGTTTGACCAAAGTTGTGTAGCAGCCTAATACGAGGTGGCGGCGGCGGGGCCGGGGAGGGCCGGAGGGGTGCAGGGGAAGGGCCCCGACGTGGGGGCGTAGCGGGTGCTGGCTGGGCTGGTGGGCTCAGAATGAGGAGTATTTCGCGTTGTCGTCGGTCGGTGGGGATCGGTTCACGTCGTGCAGGTTCGCGTGTCTCGTGCGAAACTCGGTCCCGCGCACTTTACCCCTTTGTCGGCCACGGCCACCTTTGATGGGGGGGACGTGGGGACGTCGACGAAGTCGCGCGCGGGCCGGCGCACAAGGATGGTTTTGTAGATCTCGGCAATCTAAACAGATTGTAACTACTTTGCGAAAGCCGACTTTGGCCGTGCCTCTCCCCGGCGGCCCTGTGCCTAATTCAGGCGCTGCCCGGTCCCTGTTTCAGTTAGTTTCCGGCACTATTGGTCCGCCGTCATGCAGTCTGTGACAGTGGCCGGGGCGGGGCTGGGGGCCCTAGATTAGGCCCCCCCGTTGTTGCCTCAGGCCTTGTAAGCCGCCGTAAGCCCCTGTCGGGGCGGTCCTCACGGCCCGTGGCGCCCGCGCTCCTGGGCCGCCCCTGCTCCCGCCCCCGCCGCCCCCAGCCCCCGGTAGCCGCCATGTGTGTTACATCTGGAAGCGCGCGCGCGGGATTAGAAATTCGGTACGGCGCTTATAGCGGGGCAGGAAAAGGGAAAGGGGAAATGTGAGAGGTTGGTAAAAAGGGGGGGGGGGGATGTTGCGCGGTACTGTAAACCAGGCGGAGGTTTCGCCTGCATTTATGTCGTAATTTAACAATCTTATACTTCGTATATAGATTGGATTTGATTCAGTCGGTTTTTCGCTCGATTCTGTACTGAGCCGCGCCGGCGCACACCCTACAGCCCACCGTCGAGGTCGCCGATCGGTGTCCACGACCTTGCCGTTGGTCCGTCCGTGTCCTCGGTAAAAGATAGGCTGACGGTGACTTCGGGATCGTACTTAGCAACCGCAGACTTGGCGAAGGCCACTCGCAAAGCCCGGTTGACGTTGACGGCAACGTGCTGCGCCCGAGTCCGGCGTCCGTGTCCCCGGCCTCGGTAAGAGATACATAGACGGCGACTTCGGAGGCCGTGGGCTTGGAGGCCTTGCGCCCCCCAAGTCGGTGCCCTGATCTGCATCTCTTTGGCTCTCGTTGGTAATTGAATCGTGTTATTACAGGGCATGGAACTGATGAGATACCCGGACGAGCTACTATTGCTGATTCTCGAAAAGGTCAGGAGGGTTGACCTGTTCGCGTGCCGCCTCGTCTGCCGGAGGCTGGGCGCCCTGGCCCTGCACCCGGGCGTGTGGCGGCACCGGCGGCTCGTCGTCAACCGCAGGAGGCTGACTTGCCCGGTGCTGAGACTCGCGCCGTGCCTGGCGAAGCTGGTTGTCACCGTGCCCACCTCCTCCAACTGCCACCCGCTGACGCTGTTGTCGACGAAGTGCGCCGCGTCCTCCTTGCAGCTGATCGTGGGGCCGGGGGGAGCCGCCCAAGGTGCCCTGGTCATCCGGAATCAAGAGGCGCTCGGACAACTGAGGTCTCTGGAAGTGGAACTCGAAGATGATTTTGAAAATGAGGTGGACATGAGTGGCCATGAAGCAGCAGTAATCTTGGGGGCGGTAGCCTCGACAGGCGGCCTCCGGGATCTGGTAGTGAACCCTATCCCTGAATGCGCCCCCTCACCCCTAGTGATCGAGTGTTTTATCAGAAATAACGAAGTGTCTGCGCCATTACTCAAACGGCTCCATTTCAACGTATGCCTGCGCACCCAGTCTCTCCTGAAGCACGTGGTGGCCGTCAACAACGCAACATTGACGGCGATAAACCTGACGGGGTTTGAGTCCATGACCGCCGTCACGGAGATGGTAGCCTTGGCGCCTGTGCTGGCCACCCTCGCGGCTCTGCGGGAGCTGGCGTGCCCGCTGCTGCCCGGTCTGGAGGCGGTGGCGGCGTGCGAAGCCCTCGAGAAGGTGGACCTGCAGCTGAGCCCCGGCACGCCGGCCGCGACCAGGTCCGCGGTGCAGTTCTTTCTCCGCGCCAAGGCCCTGCGCCACGTGGCCATGGAGTGCGGGGATTTGAACACCCCGCACTCCGTCTGCTGCGAGCTCTTCGAGGCCCTGTCGGCCGGCCGGACCCGCGCCACCCTCCAGTCGGTCAGCGTGTCCTTCCTCCCGTGGACCCTGCCGATGCCCGCGGTGGTGCAGAGGGCCATGCTGGCCGCGCTGCCCCTGCTGCCGGCCCTGGGCACCATCAAGGTAGGCGGCGCGGTGCCCGACGAGCTGTTGCGGCAAGCCGGCCACGGCCCCGGCCGCGCTGGAGTACCTGATGCTGGAGTTCTGGGCGTCCCAAGCATGTGTTCATAGTCTCCTCCACGAAGAGGGCGTGAAGGCTATCATGTCAGACAATCCCCATGTCCAGCCACTCGTTCCCGCCACCCTCTCATCTTACTGCGCTGGCACCACATGTGACTACTGTGAGCTAGGGTGCCACCAGGGCCTGCCCGAGAACGGCGAACGTTTTGCTTCTTTTCAATTTGTTCCCATTCCCCGAGATGTTCCTCAGTGAAGCGAAGTCTATTTTGCTTGTTCATAATTAATTTTTTTTATTTTTTTGTACTGTCGAGCTAATTGGGCATGGTTTGTCTAATGTTTTTTAATGTTCATCATCTTTGTGTTCCTTTTTATAGTCTTCTCAATCGAATATGACGCCACTCTTGAAAGAGCAAATGATCATTTTTTTGAACTGTCCGAAGTTCTTATTTTTTTAAATGTTGACCTAGTGAGGCATGGTAAATATTTTGAATGTTTCTCAATGTTGAAACAAATTGGCATCATAAATTATGCCTAATGTTTATGTAATAAATCATGATAAATAATGTTTACCAATGTTTTATTATTCCTAATCTATCAGGCATTGTTAACGATATATTTAATTTTTCTTAATGTTAAGCTAATAAGACATCATAAATGTTTATTATTGTTGCTTAATTTTTTAATGTTAAGGTACTGATGTCTGGTAAATTAATCACTGGCCACTTGAGGTTCTATGCCAATGCCATTCTCGTTCACTGAAATGTGAAATTTGACTATTTTGACTGTTCTCTTTTGTCATGTCTCATCAATCTAGTATAATGTCAAATAAACTATTGCCTAGGTATATGAGCTGTTTTTTTTTCTCCTTTCAACCTACATCTCTTGTACAACATTTACAGCCAAGAGTACCTATTTTTCTGGAATAAAACACTCCGGTTATTGTTTCTAAAGCTGAACTTTGGAAAAAGATTGCCTTTTTACGCCTTTTTATTTTAGTCTGGTATGGAAATTTGTTTGGGTCAGTAAGGAAACGTAGACTCGGGTCCAGTGGAGCTAAAATATCCAACAGTCTTCTTTATTGCTTCTGCGAGAGCATGCTTAAAACATCAAACAGCAGAGCAGAGAGCAGACCGTCAATTGCAATGACCAAAACTGTCAGATTTTATTAAATCAAATTGCGACCCCTGGGAACTAAGCGTAGAGCTCGGACGGAAAACTTGTACGATTTTTTCGTTTGTTTTTTTTTTCATGCGGGAACGACTACATGACGTAGACTTTTGTATTTCTGGAAAGAACTAAAATCACGTAGCTGTAGCTAAGCTACAAGTCTCGACGCTCTGAGTCTTTTTTTCCGCCTTGCTTACCGTTGTGTCCTTGCAGGGCATGGAGCTGGAGAAGCTCCCCAACGAGGTTGTTCTGATGGTGCTGGGATACGTGGGGATGGAGGACCTCTTCGCCTGCCGCCTCGTGTGCACGGGGCTCGGCGCCCTCGCCCTCCAGGGCGTGTAAAGTTAAGTACGCGTGAGCGTTTCACGTGAGATGAGCGCTCACACGAGCAACGTGCGGTGCCATATACTAAACGAAACGACTTCAAATTGAAAATATTTTTGCAGGATTGCACTCTTCTTTAGTCCCTCCTCTCTAAAAATCTATGGGTTTGTCAATTTTCGCGTCATTTTGCCTCTCACCAGGACGCTCATCTCACGTGAACGCTCACGCGTGCTTAACTTTACACGCCCCCACCCTGCCGTGTGGCGGCACAGGCAGATTTCCGACAGCAGCCCACTGATGTGCCCAGTGCTGCGTCTGGCGCCGTGCCTCGCCACTCTCAAAGTTGAGCTTCCGTCTTTCCGCTGCCACCCGCTGCTGCTGTCCACCACCAAGTGTACCGTAGTCAAACTGGTACTCGCGGTGAGACCAGAGAGCGCCGTTCTGTACGCTCTCATCGTCCGGCACCAGCAGGCGCTTGGCCAGCTCAGGTGTCTGCATGTGTTGTCTGCTGGTTGCGGAGCGCCCGCGGACAGTAAAGGAGACGTATTCTGGGGTGCGGTCGCGTCGACTGCTGGGCTGAGGGAGCTCTCCATCGGCCATGGCTTGGCTTACGGGCCTTTCATGACTTGTTACGTGTCGCACAATGCCGTGTCCGAGCCGTCCATAAGGCATTTGAAGTGCGGCCTGAAGTCGCTAGCTGAGCAGCCCTTACTAAGGTACATCATGGCCGGGCATGCCGTCACACTGGAGGACGTAGCAATTTTTTGGGACGAAATGTACCCACCCAATACGCCCCTGATGACGGTGGCTTCCCTGCTGGCAGGCATGCCGAACCTGCGTGTGCTTGCGTGCCCTCTGATCCCGGGGCTGGAGGCGGTGGCTGCCTGCGAGTTGCTCGAGAGGGTGAGGCTGAACATCCGTCCTGGCACGCCCGCAGGCACCAGGTCTGCGGTGGAGTTCTTGCGCCGGGCACGGAGGCTTCGCGTAGTCTACTTCATGTACTCCGACTACAATATGCCCTGTTCCGTCTGTGGGGATATGGTTGCGGCGTTGGCGTCCGGACCGTCCCGCACGATGGTGGAGTCACTTTCCATAACCACAGTGCCCTGGACCAGGGCGATGCCCACCGCGGTGCAGACGACGCTGCTCGCCGCGTTGCCTCTGCTGCCAGCACTGCGCTCCCTAACGTTAAACGGGGTGCCAGAAGAGGTCATGATGGGCATCAAGCCCACCACGGCCTCGGCAATGAAGAATCTGGTCCTGGAGTTATTCAGGTTCCCCAAATGCAGGCACAGTCTCCTACATGTGGAAGCCGTGCAGGCACTGCGAGCAGCCAACCTCTCGCTGCAGCTACTCGTCCCCCGTGCCGTCCCATACTTCTGTGCAGACACGCCCTGTGACGGATGTGCGCAAGGCTGTCATCAGGGTCTCCTGGATCAAAACGAGCAAAGATTTACTTCTCGATTTGTGCCCATTCCTCGAGGTGTCCCCCAGTGAAATGAAGCGTAGTTTGCTGGTTTATAAACTTAACGGGTTTTTTTGTTTTTGTTTTTAATGTTGAGCTAATGACGCATGATAAATAACGATTCTTAATGTTAATGATAGTGTACCTTTTGAAAGTGTTCTTCATCGGATATGACCACACTCTCGTAGACGAGCAAAGGACTATCTTTGTCACTGCCCGACGCGTTTTGCCAATTTACAAGTGTGTGACATTTTCAAATCTAATGCAGTGATTTATTCTGTCATTAAATGATCAGTGGAAATATATGCTTATACCTCGAGTAATTTCTTTTTTAAATGAAACCTGTATTCGGTTTGACATTTTGGTATGTAACGTAAATAAGGTACGACAAATGTGGGCTTAAACGCATTCATTTTTTTTACAAAAACTGTGTACAGAATCTTTTTATGTATCGATATGATTAATAAAAGTTGTACCTTTCATTGATGTAATTTGTGAAAATGGTTTTCTTATGTTTTCGTCCAAGACATGTTACTTTTGACATTGAAAACAGTTATTTGACATTTTGACACACTCGGCGAGCAACTAGGTAGACATCTTTTGAAAAGATGTGCGAACCGTTTTGCCTAACACTAGCAGTGTTTGAATGGACTTTCGCACATCTAATGCAGTGTGATGTGGTCTATAGTCTACCTACAGTTTAAATATAATTACCTGACTTTTTAAATCCTGGGTAGTTACAAATTTGTATAGCTCCTGCTGCACACATTTTTTATTTTGTCGCACTGAATATACAAATTTGTCACTACTCAGGATTCAAAATTGCATCGTGCAAGATGTGCGCACAGACGCATTGTCGCTATGGACAAATATTGTCCCTTTGCCACTTAGAGTGTACCTCTCACATTCCGTTTTTCTGGCGAGAGTGAAAGTCCCGAGCCGGCAGTCCTTAGTGCGGATATGTCACAACGAGAAGGGTTTTGTTCAAACAAGTTCGTGCTTCAACTCTGGGGCGTAAGCCGCGCTTGTTTCATGTGCTCGTGGTAATCCAATCGTGTCCTTGCAGGGCTTGAAGTTGGAACATCTGATGGACGACTTGCTCGTGATGGTGATGCAGTACCTGGACGTGGAGGACGTCTTTACTTGCCGCCTCGTGTCCAAGAGACTCGAGTCCTTAGCGCTGCTGCCGGGCGTGTGGCGGCATCGGCGACTCGAAGCCAAGGACCCATGGGCGTGTCCGGTGCTGCGTCTCGCGCCGTGCTTGGCGAAGCTAGTAGTGCACTTCCCCTCCACCAAGAGGTGTCACTGGCTGTCCGCCTCGGCAAGGTGCTCCGTCTCTGAGTTGGAGCTGACCGTGGACGGCGACCCTGCCGACGTCGCTTTGACCATCCGTAGCCAGGCGGCGCTTGGACGCCTCAGGCGCCTCTGTGTGTATGTAAAAGATGGAGTGCAAGAGAAGGAAGCAGCCGCTCTGTTGGTGGCGGTGGCGTCAACACATAGCCTCGAGAGGCTCCGAGTCCAGTTTTTACCAAAATGCGGCATTCCTATGTCCTGCTTCCTTCGCCACGCGTTGCCCTCGCCCTCCCTCAAGTTCTTCCAGTGTTCGCTTGGCGCTAACACCGATGCCTTTTACAACTTCATCCTGTCAAGGCACGCTGCCACTCTGGAGGAAGTCCTTCTAGAACCTTGCGTATACGAGGCTGCCTTAACCACGGCCTCATGGTCTGAGAGGCGCTGGACGCTGTTGGCCAGCATCACTCACCTTCGCTACCTGCGGTGCCCCCTCTTCCCGGGGCTGGAGGCCTTGGCAAAGTGTGACTCGCTGAGTAAGGTCTACCTGCACCTGTCTCCCGGCTCAGACGCCCGCCTCGAGTCGGCCGTGAAGTTCCTGCGCTGCACCGAGAAGCTGCGCGACCTCACTTTGGACTACCGAACCAAAGACGATTCCACCCTCATCGCCGCGACCTCGGCCGCGACCCTGGTTCTGGTCTTGTCCTCGTCCGCACGGTCCCGGGCGACCATCGAATCGCTCACCATTCTTGGCCTGAAGTCCATGTGGTCCAAGCCTCCCTTGCCTAGCGTCCTGCTGGAGGCGCTGATCACCGCGCTGCCCATGTTGCCGGCCCTGCGGCACTTGGAGGTGGACAGGAAGGCGGCCGATCTGCTGCGGAGCATCACACCCGCCACGGCGCCGGCCCTGCGCTCCCTGCGCGTGTTCATCCAGGAGCCTTCATGCCGCCACTCCTGGGTGCACCGAGACCCGCTCCTGGCGCTTCTGACGACGAACCCCTTGCTACAGTTGTGTGTGCCCCTCCGAGACGGAGGAAAGTTGTACTGTCGTGGTGACTCACCCTGTGCAGTGTGCGCCTTAGGCTGCCACAGAAGACTCCGTGAGGAGAGAGCTAACCTGGTCAAGGGTAAGCGTAAATACTTTTCGTGGGTACTCCTTCCACGTGACGCCCATGACTGAAATAAAATGTATTTTCTTACGCAGCACTTTGTGTTGGCTCGTTAATAATGATATTATGGTAAATTGATTTGTGGCCTCTTAGGAATATTTTGATTTCGATTTAGAAGAACGTTTGTACAGTATCTTAAATTCACAATAAACGATTTTGTTTAACAAAGTGTGCTACTTTTGAGAGCACAAAGGACCTATCTGGTGTTTAATTAGATTTTACACTTGTTTATCAATTTTTACTGGAATCCTATTCTCATTTATGGAGCGCCAGCTCAGACAGGAGTCGTCGTCTGATTCAAACTCACAGTAATTGTGTATACTACCAAGATTGTCGAAGCACACGAAAAACAAAACAACAAAAACATTCGCTGTTGCAGACAAAAATTCGCTGGCTCATACTCAACGAATTTTATTAGTTGTTCAAGCGAATAATTTGCCACGGTAGCAAAGTATCCGCTGAGGTGGCTAACGCGAGCCCTGTTCCAGTGAACGGCACTATTTCTGCTTCAGGGCACGCATTCGCCTCCGCAACTAATTCTTTGCTTCCGTAGCAAATTATTCGCTCTGACAACTAATAAAATTCGTTGAGTCTGAGACAGCGAATTTTTGTCTGCAACAGCGAATGTTTTTTTTCCGTGCAGCTGTAGTGAAATGTACGAATAAAGCATTCCGTTGAAACTGAAATGCAGAGGAATTCGGGAAACAAGAAAACTTCCCATGTTAAACCATAGCGATTTCAGGTTTACAGATATACTTTATTAGATCAACATGTCTGGACCGCAGAGTTGCCATTACTATGCCAGCGCCACCCGCGCTTAATTTATTATCGCAAATTTAAGACACTTAGTAATTTTGTTAGCGTAACCTGCACTTTGACAGTCGATGGTGATGACTTGGACTCGTCGTGTCATGACGAGAATCCCATCACACAACAGCAATAGACCATTGCAGTCTAGGTCCGTCAAAGGCAAGTGGGGAAGAAAAGAACTAAGTCGGAAACAGATTGCCGGAGCCACGATGTAGTTGCCGGAAACGAAGCCTGCAAACAAGGCCTGGTGAAAGGGAGGGGGGGGGGGTATGATGGCCCTCTGCTTGTTTCTAGTGAGCATAGCCTGCAAGGTAGGCCATTGTGTTGCGAAGCCCCTGTGCGAAGGCAACCAGCAGTGCTCGCCCCATGGCTCCCCTCTCCCCCCGTAGTCACACGGACCTGTAAGCCGCGCTTTGCTAATCGCCACTGAATCGACGGACAAGGGAAGGTGGGGTAGATTGGGACGGATTTTTTCTTTTTGCTGTAGGTCGGAGATCATGCATGTTGGAATGACCGGTACTGGCTACAATTGTACATTAATATGTGGCCTATCACAGCCTATATCGTCCTGATTTTTTATCTCATGCTCTTTGGCTGTAGAGAGATTTCCCCGAAGTGTGTCACCTGTCCCAATGTTCCCGGGCACGGGGCACATTGGGACACCATAAGACTACATAAGATGGGGCACATTGGGACAGTTGACGCGCTTACCTGTGAAATATCAGCATACGAACCACCTTGCGGTCTGGAAGCCTAAATAGGCCAGTTATCTACAAGATGAGACAGTTTTTGGATTTTTTGAGGGGCTACATTGAGCACTTTTGGTGTACTGTCCCAGTGTGCACTTAATTGCCTTTCCTGTGATTTCTTTCTTTTTCTTCGGTATTTTGGGATTCAACTCAAAATCCTTACTTGCAAAATGCGTCGTAAGGAACTACCTACTGACCAGCTACTTGCGCGATTTTCTATCTCATTTCAGTTTGCGTAGAAAATAGCAAAATAAAATAAGAAGGTACCTTACTTTTAACAGATTTTTGAGCTTATCGTACTTTGATATTTTCTGTACATCAGACAAGGTGTGCAATCTTCCCAACACTGATACCATCATGAAATATGCTAACATTGGCTACGTGTCAATTTTTTTCAGCACGTAAATACTGTTAGAAATATGTGATATTGCTACTGTCCCAATGTACCCCGTGTCCCAATCTACCCCACCCTCCCTCACTCGTCAATCACCCTGAGCTTCTGACAATATGGTTTCCCGCGGTTCCATGCTCGGGACGTGTCCTCTAGTGTGATCCGGCCGCAACGACGGGATTAAGAATAGCCGGCGCATATAGCCGCGCGCGGAGGGGCCCGTCTCCGACTGGTTCAAGAAGCACTCGCTGCTCTTCTTGCTTGACTCTGCCGCGCGCGCGTCACGCTGCGTGCACCTGGCGCACGCTCACCTGTGCACCGATGCACGATGCACCCGCCCCGGCCGCCGCCCCCGCGCCACCCCCGCGCCGCCCCCGTCTTGCAGTCCAGGTGTAAAGTTACCTGTCCGCGCCGCCAGGCCGCGGCAGCGGCGGCGTCGGCAGAGCCTGGGCCTCCCGCCGCCAGAGGGCAGCGGCGGTGCGGCGCGGCCCCGCGCTCTGCTTGCTCGGCTTCGGGACGCGCTCGGCTCGGCTCGGCTCGCCCCCGGCGAGGCAGGGAGGGGGCGGAGGGTTGTGCCGGCGCCGGGATGCGTCGTCTGCTACGGCCCGCGCGACGCCGCGCCGCTCAGTTCCTCTCCGGAGGCGGTCGTTCGCAGACGGAGGGGCTTTGAGTTGCTGCCGCGCGCCCGACGCCCGGCATCCCGGACGTGATCGGCGAGACGAACGAACGACCAGCACGACGACGACGTCGTCGACGGCGTGGCACCGCGGCGGCGCTGCAGCAGGCCGCAGGCCGGGCCGGCCCCGGGGGAGGGAGGCGCTGTCCGCGAATCTCGACGCCACGCCGCCACCACGCGTTGCGACGTTTATTTTTACGTGGTGTGCCCGCTGGGAAGCGTGAACGCGTGACGTCACGCTAGTGTCTGCGTGCGCGCGCCCGTGAGTGAGTGTGTGTGTGTGTGTGCCGGTGGGCGACGAGGGCACGAAGAGGAGGACCGTATCATCTGCAGCGACCTCATCACATTGGAATACTTTGTCGGAGTTGGCATATTAACGTGGAGTTACAGTGGTGGTGCAGTGGTGGTGTTGGTGCTGTGAAGTGTGTGCGAAATCAGTGCAGTGCATATGAAAAATAGTGTCAAATGCAGCGGGTGCCGCGCTGACATGTGATGGCAGGTGGCGGTGCAGTCTGACAAGTGTGTGTGCGTGAGAGAGAGAGAGAGAGAGCGTGTGTGTGTGTGTGAGCACGACGGTGTTGACAGAAGAGCCGCCCAGGATGTCGCCGCCGGCCCGGCCGTCGTGGCCGTGGAGCCGGCCGCGGTGCCCCCCGCCGGCAGGAGGATGCCGTCGCGGTGGCGCGCTGCTGCTGCTGCTGACGCTGCTGGCGCTCGCCGTCTCTTCAGTGCAAGGTGGGTGGTGTGTGCATGTCCTAGCTCCTTGGCGAGCTCGCTCATCGCAGGTGGCACTTTCGCCGCGCTTGTTTGGCTTATCTGCCCGGCCGGCCGGCGCGCGGGCGTAGGAGGTAGGGACACGCCGACAGCAGGCCGCCGCCGAAATAGCTCGCAGGGAGCCCCCGAGCCCCAGCTGCGGCTCAACAATCGGCCGGCCAGCCGCGCGGTCCCAGCCTGTCTCTTCTGTTGGCGCGCGCCGACGCCGGCGTTCCCGGCGTCCTCCTCGGGCTTGGGGGAGTCGGTGGTGGCGGCCAGCGTCGCGCCCCGCCTCGCCCTCGCCCTCGACTCGCCGCGCCGCCGCCGCGCCTTTTCCCGCCCTCCACCTGGCTCCCCCGTAGGAGACCAATTAACCGCCGGCATGTTTTTCGGAAGGGGCACCCCCCCCCCCCCCAACCGGCAGCGGCCGCGACGATGCGGAGGAAGCAACGCGTCGTCCGCTCTGCTCGCCTCCCTCACGCTCGCCCGCGCTGCCATTGAACAGCTGAGCGCGTCCGCCCGTCTTATTCCGCCGCCCCTCTTGCCCGTCCGTCTTTGGCGCGAGCACAAGAGAACGGCAGCGGTATGTGGGTATCGGGCGGCTGATTTTGAGAAATGACGTAATGCCGGTGTGGTCTGTGCGCCGCTGCCGCCGCGGGCCATGCGTCCATCGACACTCGACCGCGTGAGTACGGTTTACGAACTTGCGCCGTCGTCGTCCTCCCCGGCTCGCTGCTGACGACGTCGCCGGCCCCGCGTGTGCCCTGAACCCCGCCCGTCGACGCCCACTGGCCCCGGCCCGGTAGGCCCCCGGTAGGACACAATGCCTGCGTGACGTGTGGTCCAGGGCGGCCTGCTGGTGTGGGGGCCCCGCCCTGCCCCGCCCGCCTCGCCGCTTTGAATGGCTTCTCCCACAAATGCACCTCCGTTGCCTACGCGACGCCCCTGCTTGCTGGCCACCTACACCGTACGCCCCCCTGTCTCCCGGATAATGTTTCACCCCCCCCCCTCGCCCCTGCCTCTCTCCGTCGCACGGGAGACACGACACGCTGTTGTCCTGTCCCGCTGCCGCGCGTTCTTTGATTGAATGTCGAGTTGTTTGCCATCGGCCCGTCGTCGTCCGGGTCCTGATCGCGCCGCGCGCCGGGCACGGTCCGTCCCCGCGGCCCGCGGCCCGCGGCCCGCCCATGACGGTCACGGACGGTTGGAACGACAAATTCGATCGAGGGCCGACCCGTCGTGCGGATGGTTATGAATGTCCTAGCGTTCTTGTCCGTTTAGCGCCGACTGCTGCTACCGCCGCCGTGCCGCGGAGTCCGCCTCGCGCGCTTTTGTGCCGCTCTGAAGGTATGTGTAGGGAGCGGGGCTCTACACTGGGAGACTGACCCCCTTGTCAGGACTCTTTTCCCGTCTCGCCTTTTCCCCACGGATGTCGCGTTTGTCGCACTCGCACGATACTTGAAGGCAGAGTGATGCCGATGTTTCCCGATATCGAAGGAGTTCTCATAATGTGTAATCTGAGAGAGAGAGAGAGAGAGAGAGAGAGAGAGAGAGAGAGAGAGAGAGAGAGAGAGAGGGGGGGGGGGTGGAGAGAGACCCCCGGAAGATGGTCGGAGCGTCGTAGGGCCGCGCGCACCAACCAACGGGAGTGAGAGAGAAGGTCCGCGGCGCATTACCCACGACTTGGAAACTCTTGGCCTGACATGTCGTGCTCTGAGAGACTCGCTCACTCCTTGTGGGACGCGCGCGCGCGGCGCTGTGCTCCGGGGGGCGAGGCGAGCGGGTGGAGGGAAGGGAGGCGGAGCCGAGTCGGCTGATGTGACAGGCTTCTCGCCATGAAGTTGTGGATGTCCTCGGGGAGGCCGTGTCACAACACCGCTTCCTCACCCCGTGCAGGCCGAGTGCGCGGGGGCGCGCTGGCTGGAGGAAATGATCGCCGTCGCGGTGGCGGTGGTGGAGGTGCGGTGGTGTGCGGGCCTGGGGGTGTGTGTACGTGGAGTGGCGCTGGGCATTGTGATCCTCTACAGAGCGGCACGCCATCGCCGCCGCCGTGCCGTGCCGTCCGCATGGCGTGACCGGGTCGCGGCTGGTCGCGGCGCAGCCAACGCTCCCCTACTTACTCGCTCGCTCCCTCTCACCCTCTCGCTCCCACACACGTGACCTGCCCCAACGACAAGCGGGGCGCGGCCGTATATGCAGAGCATGCAGCGCCCCGTCAGCGCGCGGGGCGGGGCGGGGGAGCGAGCCGACTGGGAGCGCATCGCCAGGGGGGTGCATTTATTACGGACGGCGGACGTCTCTTGCGCACCGCGCCATGGGACGGGCGGCGGGCGGAGACGAGACTCTCGGTTTTGTTGTTGTTTTGGGACCGCGGCGTGGCCCGGCGTGGCCCGGCGTGGCGCTCGCGGCCGGCTCGTCCGGTCTCCGGTCCTGGAGCCGTCCTACCGGAGGCGCACCGGAGGCACGCGGCGCCCCGGGTGCCGGTGCCCCGGCCCCACCTCACCCTGCCCCACCCCACCCCGCCCGAGCGGCGTGCCCCTCTCCTGCCGCGGCGCGCGGGCCCCTGCCTGCAGACGTTCACACGCGGTCAAGCAACTCGCAACAATGGCCTCCATTACACTATTGTTGCTTGAGACCCTGCCCTGGCCGCGGGCCCTGCTGCTGCTGCTGGCCGGTGCCGCCGCGGCCCGGGGCCCCGCGTCTACAGCGCGCCGCGTTGTCTCTATTCCCCTTTGTCAAGCAAAACGCAACAAATTAATCTATATTTCTTACGACCCCCGTCGCTGCGCTGCAAGAGGAGTAGTCGCTCGCCGGCACGCGATACACTGCCACCGATCTGGTGGACTGTCTCTCTTTGTTGACTCGGGGAGGAGCACCAATGCACGTTTGCTGTGACCTTCTTTGCGAGCCTTGTTGGCCATTTGTAGTGCCAGTACACCGGCTGTACTTCTGTGTATTTTGCTGTATTGTTTGAGTGTATTTTGTTTACACTTTAGTGTATTACCTTGCATTGTTTCTATACTTCCGTTTCTCGTATTTCTGAGTACAAGATGTTTTCGAGATGCCTCCCCCCCTTTTTTCATCCCCTCGACACTGACACGTGGTACTGCACTACGTCTCAGGCTTGACACCAGTCTTGTCTCTCAATTCCTCTGCTTCCGCAGCCGTGTGGTGCAACAGTGCAAAACGTGGAGTGCCACGCATCCCCGTGTATCCGCGACCGACTCGCGAAGCAGCACATTTCATTCGCGCGTTTTGTCTCTGCCTCTTTCTCTTTCTACAAGACGCGGAAGAGCGAGACGGTGAGGGTGTGGTAGTGAAGAGAGGAGAGAAGTAAGGGCGTGGGGCGAGAAAGTGCGCGGGTGGGAGAGAGGGGGGGGGGGGGTGGAATTGGAGGGGTGGGCGTGCGTCTCTCGTCCAAAATTTAAACGCGTTGCCCCCCCTCTTTCACCCGCCCCCTCCCGCCCCTCTAGGCCCATCCTTCATATGCTCGGGAAAGGTTAGGCGGCGGCGGCAGCGGAGAGAGGCCGTGCGTGTGTGGGTGGGTGGTGGCGCTCGCCGGGGGCCGTCCCTAAGCGCAACGAGACTAAACGCACTCTAGACCCCCCAGCTCGAGGCGGTGGCGATCCTAAAGATGGGGTGGGTGTGGTGAACATTGTGTCGGGCAGGTGCAGGCACCGCGGCACCGCCTCTCAGAACCGGAGGTACAGCGGGGTTGCCTACTCTCTGCTTGGCCGGAAGAAGGGCCGCGCCCGTCTCGCACAGCGGCGCTTGCTGTAAAATGAAGTAAACTGCTGTACACTCTGCTCGCCCGCCCCTCTGGCCCGCCCCCTCCCGCCCCCTCCTCGGGGACCTAATGTGTCGAGTAAGCAGCGCCGTGTCCTCCCCGGAGGAGGTAGAGGAGGGTGAGTGTGTTCTTGTGCTCGCGCGACATGCCCTTTTGGCACCGTCGGCACTGCTGATGTCCTCCATTCCTGCGGTCAAACTTCATTTTTTTTTTTTACTTCTTTTTACTTTACTTCCATTTCCCTCCCTCTCCGTCCCCCACCCTCTTTCGTCTCTGTCCTCTCTTGGCAGCACCGGTAAGGTGCGGCAAAAGATGTGCGGTCCTTGTTGAAATGACAAGACAAAAAAAAATCACTACGGTATCTATATTAAATTACTAAACATGGTACTTTTTGACATTGATGATTGACGAACCGTTAGAGTTACTGAGACAGCTACGGTTTATATTACTTAGGAAAAGAATACATTACGTAACGTTAGTAATTTCTCATACTATGGAGATTCGATTGTTAGCGGCAGTCTGCTTATACTGAACCACTTCCATATCAGTATTTAAGAAGTGTGTGGTGTGGTCCTCTTTTGTACCGCATACCGCATGGAGGTGCACGGCTGATTTGCCTCCCTGTCCGGAGCGGTGTCGATTTGATATGTTTCAAACGAATACGAAAATTTGTGGGTCGGTGGGACTTGGTGCAGACGGAGGACGACGAGAGCGCCGGGCGCGTTCCTGGGCCGAGCGGACACTGCTGTGGGAACCTGGTCGAGGATTAAGGGCCGAACTGAGGCCGGCCTCGGCGGATCTTTTATGAATCCGATCCACTCGCGGATCCCTGCGGATGACTGAATTTAATCAGAAACTCGTAGCAGTTGCGTTAGGTCTCGTGGCCGGCTGGGCGGGGGGTGCTGTACCAGACTGTACCTACCACCAGCCGCCCCCTCCCTTTCTTCTTATCATGTTGCCTCTTTGGATGCTTGCTGTCTCCCCGCCGGTGGTGGTGCTCTTCCAGGGCCGTGAACACATCTCGGAGGCCTGTGCTGCCCCCTGGCCCTGGCGTATCTGGCGGCGAGCATCGCTCCCCTTATCCAGGGGGGTGGGAGCGGGTCTCCTGGAAAGCGGGGCTCCCTGGAAGCGGCGCACCACCTGGTGGTGAATAAGGGGTGGGTAGCAGCGCGCCCAACTTTTCTCCAGTTTCTCC